GATGTCAGATCTCACTGGTAGCAGCAATGGTGGTTCTGATTTCAGTTCTATCAGGCTAGAGAACTCTGTTCTCCTTAGCCACTGCTGAGCTAACACTATCACCTTTCTTTCTTCTTGCCCTACCTTCTGGATCACCTTTCCTAGAAGTGAAAAAGGTGGGAATGCATATAGCAGGCCTTGTGTCTGTCTGTGCAAAACAGCATCTGTCCCTAGGGATTTGGGGTCTGCTTTCCATTCCAGGTAAAGTACTTTGGCCACTTTGTGCTCTTGAGATTAGTGAACAGGTCGAATTATATGGGAATACCCTTGCAGATGTTCTGAGAGATTGTCCACTATCTGAGAGAGTTGAGAACCAGATTCAGAACAGTACCTGGTGTTGAATGCATTCTGATAAATAGTTCCTTAGTTTCAGGAGAAAGGACTCTTTGTCACAGAAGTGTCTGTTTCCATTCCCAGGTGAACTATCTTTGTGGAGGGAGGTAAGGAGCTCTTCTTGTATTTATCACAAATATGTGTACTTGAAGCAGATCCAGCATCTGGATTGTGGCACTGTGTTTTGCTGCTTTGGTCGGAGCGCTGATCAAGATGTCATCTAGGGATGGAAGGTTACTGGTGAGCACCCCGAAGAGCCTAGGCTAGCTAGTATCACCACGAATATCTTTGTAAGGACCCAGGGGCCAACAAGATGCTGAATGGAAGCATTCAATACTGGCAGTGGGCTGTGCCATATGCAAATCTCAGCAGTCTGTGGCAGTACAGTCATATAGGAGTGTAGAGTTATGCATCTGTTAGGTCCGTGGAAGCGAGGAAGTCCACCTGAGGCAAGGATGCTCCTGGTGAAGCTAGGGCCACCATGTTTTCTTTATCATTTGCTGAGCTGCTTGAACTCCAGGACTGCTCTGACCCACCAGTATGCATCTGGACAATGAAGAAAATGGAGTTTTAAGAAACTTTCTTTGGAGGGAACCTTTTCTATTTCTCCGATCTCCAGGAAATGTGAGATTTTGTATAATACCAGCTCACATTTGATGGCATCTCTTGAGATGGGGGATTGGATGAAGAAGGTGAGGAGCTTCAGGGGGTGTCCACGACTCACTACCTCTCAACCACTTCTCTGTATTCAGCTGAGACCATTCTTCTGAGAAGGAGGAAATTCTACCTTCTAGATTCAGGGCTGGACAGAGGTACATTTGTTTGTTGCCATAGAATGCTCTTAGAGGTGGTAGATTCCCCTCTGGATTTTCCACCCAATCCTAAATTCTAAGATTTTCCCTGATATACTTGTTGTCTTTTGTCTGATAGCTTTGCGAGGAGGATGGACGAAAGGAACACTGTTGTCTGTTGCTAGGTTTATAGTCCCACCTTAGAGCATTGAGTTGAGAGGGAAAGGGAGGAAGGGAAGGTTTAGGTTTGGCAGCACTTTCTGCCATTATTTTGTCTAGTTTTTCACCAGAGAGGAGAGAACCTGTGAAGTTACATGCACACAGAATTTGCCTGAGTGAGCCTCAATCTTCCAGAGGCAAAGCCAGATGTGGCTGAAAAGCTCATTGCATCCATTGAAGATTTTGCCAAGAGGCTGTTGCTAAGGAACTTTTCTTAAGTGTAGATCAGAATTTGGGATGGTCTGTCCTTCATGGCCTTAAGTTCATCCAAGCACAACATTGTGGCCCTTCTAGAGTCCTTGTAGATGCTCCAAAGGAGACTGACAAAGTCCCTCCTGAGGGTGGCTATCACCTTTCTATTTGTAGGATCCTGGGGAAAGACATCGCCTTCAGACAGAATTACCATATCTCGCTAGAGATGCTATTGCAGCATTGACCTTTGGTATATCTGTAATGGGTTGGGTTTTTTTGGCTTTTGCATTCCTGGAACATAAAAGTGCATGCCTGCTTATGCATTTACCCTTATCAGGTGTTCCCCATTCCTCTCTGATCACATCCTCAAAGGATGGGAGCAGTGCGATTACTGTTTCAGGCAAGGATTTAGAAGATAGGTATTTGCCTTTAGGTTTGTCCTCTAGCACCTGCTCACATTGGATCTGGACTGTGGTTGTAACCTTTTTGCATATTTCAGGGGTGGGGGGAACTTCTGTTGCTCAGAGCCTGAATTTGAGAGCTCCCCTTCCTCCACAGAGGATAAAGGTGTCTGAATCAGAGGACAAATACATTTCAGGTTTTCAAATACCTTTCTATTCCTTTTTGCTTTTTGAATTTTTTTAGCCGTTTTGGCATGCTTTGCAGGTGTTGCCACCTGGCTGTGACCAAGGCACGGTCTTTTGTAGCAGCTTGCTTTATGCAACTCCTTGACCCCTCTGGATAAGTCTCCCTCAGACTATGTAGACACTGCACATCATCAGTACATAGGGTATGTGCAGCTACACATCAGCGTGAAAAGCAGGCTGCATCCATGCTGTGGTATGTAACAACATGTGCCAGTGAAAGGCTTGGGCAGGAGCAGGCAACAGGGAAAGCCTCCAGCAGTGGGACACTACCCTGCTAAAAACAGGAAGGTAGACAGGGGAAGCATTGCTTAGTCATGTAGAAAGCCGGATAGGGAACATAGTCACAGGGTTCAGGTGTGTCTTTACTCGCCTAAGCAGCGCTTCACCAGCCACACTATTTATATCTGTGCTAGGATGGCGTGTAGTACATGTATTGTGGAATCATAAGTGTAGACTGTACCCTCGGTGTCCTCCCCTTCATGGTCCCCCTACCCAGGGGATGGGGTTTTGAGCTGGGAGAACGGCTGCTGAGTATGAGCCCTGCTTCAATCCCCAGAGAACTTAAGACCTATTTTAGGACTTGCTTTCCAGACCTGTTGTGCCCCAGGACTCACCGCTGGGGCTGGCAGGATGAAGTCCTCCTTGTGCTTGGAGTCTCTTCCTGCTGTGCATCTCCAGATCAGGGTTTTCTCTGTTGGAGCCATGGCTTCTCAGGTTAAACGTAGGGGGGAGGGAACACAACATGCCTGTCTGACTCAGAGCCCCGTGCCCTAGTAGTGAAAAGGTGGGCTGATTGAGAACAAGCAGGGCACAATTCACCTTCTGAAGAGCCTGGAAAGCTGCCTCACAAATAGTGCAGCGTTTGGCATCAGCTCACTGCGACAGCTCTGCCATGTCTGCGAGGGGGCTGAGAAGTCTGGCAGGAAGGCGCTGCTGTGCTGGCGCTGGATGGCTGAAAACACCCCTCTTAATGCCTGATCCAGGAGAGGGAGAAGAACGGCTGCTCGCTACTGCCCCAAAAAAACAAATAAAATAAAGGCCAGCAAAGAAAAGGGAACAAAGTGACCTGCCCTTGGACTGCTGCTGGATAAGGGGATGTGGTTAGCATGGGCTGTGCTACAGCTTTTGAACTGTCTCCTCCAACTGCAGACATATTAGAGTTCTGGGAGATGCTGAGTTTCAGAATTCCTCTTTCAGTTCGTACAAAACCAGGAGAGCTGACTCCTGTGCCAACCATTATATTGGGGTACTAGGTGTGTCAGGGGAATGTTGGGGAAGGAACAAGGTACAGCTGCCCTCTGCATAGTCTCAGCCTGCGTATGGTCCATTAGGTAAATTAGGACAGCTCATAGGCTGCTGTAATTTATGTCAGTGAGGGGGCCAGAAAGCTGTAGCCTGAGAATCGGGGTGGAGGAACCTGCTCCCTGATGCCCCTTCCTGTTCCAAGTTGACCTTAGTGCAGGAGATAAACTGGCTCTAAGTTTTCAAGTCATACTGCATTAACCAAAGTGTGGGGAAAGATCATTTCCCCAAACTTTTAGCCTCTGCAGTTATGAAATAATATAGAAAATGGGCAGTTATATAAAAATACATTAATGAGTTGATACACAAGGTTGTCAGATGCTAGATGATGGGAGAAAAGCTACCTGATGTGGCCCATCTTACTAACAGTACAGTGACACTTAACTGCTATGGTTACATTAAAAGACAGATTAAATTGATGTTTTCAAATAATCTGGTATGATACAAACTAACAGGATGAGGTTATCTGATGACCAATGGATGTATTCACGAATATGAAAAGACTGAATGTCATACTACATATTTATGTTCAGATGAACTATGAATTCTGAATTAGGATTTTGTATTCACTGTGTTTATAATGTGATGTGAAGGAATTGTTTACCTTTATATTAACAGGCAAGTACCACAGATTGATTTATATTAAATAACAAAAGAGAGTGCACTGGGTAAAGAAAACACTGAGTGCTCCTTAAGAGAGTTATAGCTTTTCTGCATAAATTAAAACCTTTATCATGTCAGATAAGATATAATATTTCCTGTCTCTATTCCAAAATCAGTATATATTTTTAATGTGTAAAATACACATCTGTCTTGTACATGAGGAGGCCCAGAACTATTCCTACTCCATTATTTGAGACTTACACCAAAACAGAATGTTTTCTCCTTTGGAAGTGGAAAACAGACATAACTAACCCCATTTTGTTGTGGTTATCAGAGGAATATGATAATTAATCTTGTAATTATTCTGCAGATCATGTGAAATTATAACAACTCACCTTTTCCAGCCTCAACCTGCCATTCTTGACCTGAATTACAGAGAAGAACTATCAAGGCCATGATTTAAATGAGCAACTTTGTCATGTTGTCATTTTGCCTTAGTCAAAGGCAAATATTTAATCTATCTTTAAACCAAGGGTATGTCTACACTACCCGCGGGATCGGCAGGCAGCGATCGATCCAGCGGGGATCGATTTATCGCGTCTAGTCTAGACGCGATAAATCAACCCCCGAGCGCTCTCCCGTCGACTCCTGTACTCCAGCGCCGCGAGAGGTGCAGGCAGAGTCAACGGGGGAGCAGCAGCAGTTGACTCCCCGCGGTTAAGACACTACGGTAAGTCAATCTAAGTACGTTGACTTCAGCTACGTTATTCATGTAGCTGAAGTTGCGTAACTTAGATCAATCCCCTCCCAGAGTAGACCAGGGCTAAAAGGGAAATACTGTTCGTTTCAAACAAGTGTACAACTGAAGCAAACATGAACAAAATCTATATATTTAAACAATAATCTATTACAAATATGAATGTTCATTTCTTTTAAAAAATTCAATACACTTACTAGTAAATAAAATAAATGCTGTGAAGAAACTAAATGTGACAATAATAGGTCTAGACAATTTGACAAATACCAAATCAAGTACAAACAAGAAGATTTCAAACAATGACTTAATAGGAATGTCCACATGATATAGAAAAAAAATTTGTCAAAATGATTTAAATCACACTCAATAAATAGGCACTTCAATAAAGTACATATTTACACTGGCATTCTGAATGCTAGGGCATCACAAAGATGTATGGCTTTATTACAATGGATGGAAGATGGCAACTACTTAGAACCCAGTGCCAACATGGATTATAACAAATCCAGTGAGTATTTTGTTTTTCAATTATTCATAGAAAATTTAATCCTGATTAAGTATCCTTGGGCAGGAATACATGAGTAGTTGATGACTGAAACCAACATTTATTTGAAATGCTTCTGTTAATTTAATCTGTGTATATGGCTTAATTATGATTGAATCCTCAATGTAAGAGAAATGAATTATATCAGGATTAAAATTCTAGTACCACATTACACATTCTTTCCTCAAAAAAGCAAGCCTGCTGTTTTTATTACTAGTGTTGCCACCTCTTTAAAGCCTCAAATAGCATTTTGCCAATCACACCTATGTTATGTTTTTAGTAACATTTCTCTCAAAAGTGTTATGGATAAAACCTCACTGCTGCTCAAGTTAAAATTTGAACTAATACCAACACTGGTGGGGAAAAAAAAGTGCTTTTCCTTTTGCACAAATAATGAAAGAAAGCTTACTGCACAGCTAGCTGTAAACATTTTACAATTGTTTCTGGAGCAATTTTGTTTTTCAAGTCCTTTAAATTTAAGCACAAAATTTTCTTTTAAGCATTTTCTTTACAGAATAAAAAGAAAAGCAAACGTTTATTCCGTGTATTACTCTGATTTCATAACTGGCTTATTCCAGACTTGTTTGAGCTCACAGCCATTTAAAGGACTGGATTCTTCTAGGCCTTCAAACTTAATATTGATACAAAGTCATGGAGTTCTTAGAGTGAAAACACTGTGGCTATGAATGGGAAAGGTTAGATTTGTCCTCCTTTGCTGTCATACAACACAGCACTGCATGCACCACAAAAACAATCTCTATTCAAACATTCAGATTTTAAATATATTTTCATACCACCCGTTTTATTTTTAAAATCAACCAATGTACCTAATTTGGGGACTTGTTCAGATCCAGGATCAGTGATGTGCTCTGATTTTATGATTCAGTTTTTCCAGGGAAACTGCTGTAGCACACAGACGTGATGAAAATAGCTGTATTTGGGTCATTATTGCACTGTATTCTTTCCTAAATATATCTCAGAAGTAATGTCGACTTTTATGTCCAGATGCCACGGTCAGTGGCAATGTCACTGATGACAGAGAAGATACTTCCCAATATAGACTATGAGACAGAAAAAGTCTGTAGAGGATAATGATGGAGACGGACTGGCAGAGGATAACACCTATGGTAATAACCTGAAGACGAAAAAGGAGTGGAGGAAAGAGAAAGTGAATGCTTTGAAAAAAAGAATAAAATAAATCAGTTGACTTTATTTTTATAAGCACAATGAAGCTTACTGCACATCTTTTGCTCCTGCAACAGTTACAAAGGGTTTGAGCAGGGGTCTGGGATCCAGGAACTCTTGACTAGTAATTTTGGATCTACACTACCTCAGTGAGTAGCCCTGGACAAGTCACATAACCTCTCTGCCTGTGTCTGCTCTTGGAAAGCTCAGTCTTGTAGTTCACCACGACTAAGGGCTGGATTCACAAGAGAGACTTGGGTGCCTAAATCCAACATTTAAATGCAACATTTAGGCACCACTGGCATTCACAAAACCACTGCTCAGTTGCTGCCTAATCCCATAGGTGCCTACATTTCCACCAATAAGGTCCATGAGGCACTAAAATTCTGCCAGTGGTCATGCACAAAGCCACTGAAGTCCTGACACCGCTGAAGTACTTGGAGCCTCCCTCACATAAAAACCTTGGTGGGATTCTCAAGAGGCAGGGCCAACTCTCCAGCTGGGCCAAGTCTGGTCAATATGCTCTTAGCATGCCTAACATGCAACGATGGTTGGAGGAGATGCCACTATTGCTACGGCCACACCCCCTTATACTCTGTAGTCCAGTGTTTAGAGCACTCACCCAAGATGTGGGAAGCCTGGATTCAAATCCCTCCTCTGCCGGATTCAGAGCAAGGACTTGAACCTAGCTCTGCCACCTCCCAAATGAATGCCCTAACCACTTGGTTATAGGAGGGTTTTCTGGGGTGCATCTCTCAATCTCTTCATCTGAAGCTGTTCCACTTTGTGTGAAATATTTGCAGAGTCATTGGGCTAGAGAGGGAGTGTGTGAATAACTACAGATCAACACTGAGCACTTCCACACCTAAGTCCCCCTTGTGAATCTAGTAGCCCTTAGATGACACAGCGGTAAAATGAGCCCTGTCTGCAGAACAGCCTCCATCCATGGAGCTGCAATGGTGGTGATTTATTGGTCTAATTTTCTAGTGTAGGCAAGGCCTTTTAATCTCAGTTTCTCCATCTGTAAATGATGTGCATGTTAATAGTTACCCAGCTCACAAGGGTGGTGTGAAAGTTTACTTGCGTGTGTAGGCACTTTGAGGAAGTTCTATATAAATGTACAGGACATCTTTTTTAAATACTTGTTTTTCTCAACTGAATATGACATTCACTGAGCACATATTTTTCTATATTTTGAATTAAAAGGCAAACACTGTTAAATCTTCAGAGTTTCAGAACTGTAGTTGCCCAAGCACAGTGATCAAACTTCTCTAGTACCCCAAGAGCAGAAATCCTCCTACAGTGTCCTGCCAGATCTCTACATATCACAAAGCAATGCACGGAATCCTATCTCAAAAGAGCTGTAAACCCCCCAGCATCAAGGTTTTCAGCCAGCAAAAGAAAACTAATGTCCTGACTAATGCAGTTATAGGAATAAAAGCCCTAAAAGTAAATTATGGGCTACATTTCTTCTATATTTTTAGTAGCATAGTTTCTACATACATAATGATCCAGTCTCAGAAAATATTTGCACACTCATATATTCACTGCATTAACCGTAAGGAATGAGAGAACTGTACTCTGGAATGATGTACTCACCCACCTGAGAATGATGGTGCATTTTATCTGAGTGTGGCAGGCTCCACACACTACCTCCCTAGCTCCCAGAATATTAAAGCAACAAGAAAGCCAAATAAATCCATCTTTGTTTTTCATTATTAAGACTTTACAAACTGAATTACACATTTGGAGAACATCTTTTTATCCAAAGAATACAGTTCAGCTGTGGTTTTCCTGATCTCCTTAGCCACTTAAAGATTTTTTTTTTTTTAAGAATTAGCCTAAAAGCCTCCCCAGAGATTTTTTTAAAACAAAGTTGGCAAAAAGACAAAAATTGGTTTTTACTAGAACCATTTTTTGCTTTACCTTAGCAAGCATCTCCTGCTTCTTCCTACAAACGATTACCTTTACATTTTATAAGGCATGCAGAGTTTCAGCCACATGATTCCTATTTGTGCAGTGAGAGTGGTATGGCTAAAACTCCATGGGTTACTTTGGGAATGTAAAGGCCTTGGAACATACATTTTCTAATAAAAGAAAACCCAACAGAAGGAACAGCTCCTCTGCAGCTTATGCAGAATTTCTAATCAAATCTCACATTGTTTTTATCTTATCCATACATACCTTCTCTCTTTGATAGTCTCTAAATAGCACAGAAATGGTTGCAAGACCCGGGTGGCACAAAAACCACAGGATGCAGCCCTGAAAGAGAATAATGGCATTTTATATCATTTACTTTGATGTGTCAGGACAGAAGATAGATATGACAATTAGGGGGATTACGTTTACATGTTTCCAGGTTTCCATCTTGAATATCCATTGTTCTGCAGTCAATCAACAGAATGAAAACCACACTTTATGCTTTAGGTCACACTTTATGCTTATCAGATCAAATTTAACTACTCAGTGTACACTGAAAGAATACAATTTATTTAATCAAATCAAATACTTAATCATTAACTCTCCCATGGAGGTAAAGCATAGTCCAGTCAATAGCATACCAGAAGAATATTTACAAAGAAAGGGATTAGTTTTCCAGATGTGATCCCTACTTTGGCAAAGGTAATATAGAATTCCCTTTTGAGTGTACTTCTCTCCACTCTGATGATCTGGTAGAGACCACAGGCCAATGACAGAGATAGGCAAACTCTTAGCCCAATAAGAAGTCCACTTGCTAAACTGTGGTGTGAATGGTAGCTGTGGTGATTAGTATCTTCAAACTGCTCCCAAATTAGTAAAATACTCTGCAAAACAATAAAGTACATTTAGAGTAAATACGGTGCCTACATGTTACATTCCTTCACATAACTAACTCTATTTATGATAGGACCATGATGCCAGCTATCAGCACAAGAGCCCTGGTTCTGTCTTCTTGCCTGAAACTGCCATGCTACCAAAAGCAACAGAGCTCGAACTGTTCCTTTGGTACCACCAATAAACACATTAAGTACAACTGACATGTCTGCTGGCAGGGAAGGAGTCTGATTCTTGACTTCCCTCATTTTTTGAAAAATTCACGCATTTAAAATGTCAAATAATGTAGTGACCTAGAGCAGCAAAGCTGCAGCTAAATTCCATTTTCTCCTTTGAGAGGAACCTGATGGAGAACCACAATCCTGCTTCCACTAAAGTGGGAGTTTTGCCAATTGACTTCAATAGGAGCAGAATTAGGCCTATAGGCACTAGCTCTCAAAAACTGATATCCCCTCCTGCCTGAATTAGTATGCTCTCTCCAGCACCTTCTTCTGTGACTTAGGGTCTGAGCCACAGTCCATTGAAACCAATGGGAAGACTCCCAATTGATTTCTGTGGACTTTGGTTCAGGCTCATACTTAGCAGGGAACATCAACTACTATTAAGAGAGTTCCAAGGCTCCATTTAATTTCTGTTTGGGACTAGTACTAGTTACAAAGATGACCAAAAATCTTGTGCCAGTCCACTTCTGGCTCCCTTCCAATACCAGCAGCCATATGCTGGCAACATTACTTTCCTTCATTACTGTCTCTAGTTTCTCTCTGCTCCTGCACTTCTCTGTGCTGCTCAGATTCTCTCTTCTCTATTTTTAATTATTTTTTTAGGCACCCCAATAAGATAAAATTTACTATAATGTTAATGATTTATTTGCTACTCTAAATTGACTATTTAATTACATTACTTCAACTCATTTCAGTATATGTCCTAGACCATTTTTATATTTGCAGGACCAATTCTGCATCCAAACAGCTCAAGAATTCTCCTAGATGGATCTGAAAGACCACTAGATACCCTAATCTCAGGATCCTGTATTGAGGGCGCTAAGCAGTAAACGATAGTGGATGTGTTATCACCTGTACATACTCTTTTGCTTTTTTGTTATTTTATCTGCTCAAGTGTTTAAACAGGATTGAAGGTCTTCATGTTCGTTCACCAAAGCCATAAAATATTGAAATGGGATGTGCCCAGTTCTGTCATACTTATCAATACACTTCTTCCAAAGTTATTACTAGCAGCTGCTCAGGTAACAGTACTACAGTTTGTGTACAGTACAGCAAGAAAAGTCAACACAAATACAAACCTGGGTTACAACAACTACTACAGCAATGCCAGTGGACGCTGGAGTGGAATCCCACTGAAGGGGTCTGCTTTGAGATTTCTTCATTCTGCCTATCATCCAACCCATACACAAACTCAGCAATAGGTACAGCATTTGTATCTGACAGACTATGTCACACACTAGTGGGAATCAAAGAAAGTTAATGTAGTCACAACAACATAATGGCAATTCCTTTCTCTAGCAGAAAAAACAGAGTAAAGTGGCAACTGTATGGTAAATCTGTAAAATGGACACTTCTCAATATAATTTTCACTCTTAATTAAACACTATGGACTTTGAGACTGTCTGAATATATGATTTTCATGCTGTGGATAATTCTCTATGTGAAATTTTATTTAATCAATTGTGAATTACATCATTATCAACATTCCCTTACTAAGGTCCCAATCGTGCAATTAGCTCCAAGCAGGCAGATGATTATATACATGCAGAATCCCACTGAAGTCAAGAGACTAAACCCGGGCTCAAGCATCCACCTTCATGAATCTGTTTGTAAGGTCAGGAACTAAAACTGAAGTCTATATATCAATTACTAAGTATGTCTTTACCCTGCAAATACAAAATGTATTAGAATGGGTTCCCTTTATTTACCCAGCAGGACTTTTGTTTCCAAGATCAGATTCCTGCAGTATAATTTCTTTAAGTTAAGCTGTATCTTTCTTAAGGAACAATACATCAACCTGAACAAAAAAAAACCACATTTAGGACAAATTCTACTCTCTAAATACGGATTCCAATTCACTGGTGGAAGTGAGGACAAACTCTGACCATTCATATTTAAAATGCAGGTATGATTGGAAAAATTACTATGTCCCATGGCACTGTGATGAAGTTTACAAACCCCATATTGGGCCAGGGAAGAAAGGGGTGAGTGGTTGGCCCTGGAGACAGGAAATGAAAAGAACCTATCCTTTGGAACCTACTGCCATGGTCAAACCTGGTGGGGGTGGGGGAGGCTCCAACTATAGTACGTGATCAAGAAGATTACGAAGGTGGAGCAGTCATGTTTTCAGAAGGGGCTTCTCTACGAAACAGAAGATACTCTTTCCAGAGTCAGAGGAAACTGGATTTGCAAGGTCTGAGGTCTTCTACTGGCTGGTGAAATGGCTCATTTTATAAAAGTGGCTTGACCAGCTGGTGAGTGGGAAAGTTGTGTCCAGGCCTCAGTGGGGTAAGAGAAAACTTGAGGAAAAACTTGAGAGGTTTTTGTTTCTGAGTGGTTTACAGAATAACCAAAGTGACTAGGGTTTACTAACTTGGCTTGTGACTAACCCTGACCAACACTTAATTTGGAGTGTTAGTCCTTGCTTAACTGGTTTAACTTTGGAATTTAAATAAACTTTCATTTTACTAATTTCACTGTGGGAGGTTGTCCATATTTTTGCCCCTGCTTGGCCTCACCTGATGGCTATGTGTACAAGCACCTTCTTAATCAGCAACTCTGAACCTTGTGTGCTGTCATATCTGCTTACTCCAGTGAAGGGAATTTTTTTTCTTTTACAACCTTTAACTCCTATTAGCCTTCCAGGGGTGCTACTGCTAGGGGAGAGGAAGATGGATTACTAACTATATTCCAGTCACACATTTATTACCACCAGCACCAAATGAACCATCCAGAAAGAACACTGCTTGACTTCCAGCTCTTGGATTGAGTTTCTGACAGTGCTGGTGTAGCTTTGCTAGATCAATTAGCGCTCTAGTTTTAATAAACTGTGTAAACTTGTTATGAAAGACTCAGAGACAAACAAACTTTGAACTTCACAATGTTTTTAGGCATTATTTCTGTATCACAAACAAATATAAGTACTTTTCACACACAAAAAAAGTCTTCGAAATGTTATGGGCTATATACCCACTCAAGGGATTATATTTATGTTAAATGGTGGTCAGAGTATTTCCTTGATATTTAGCAATATTAGCAAAACATGGATGTTAAATAATTAAGACCCAAGATACTGCGCCTGAGATTTATATGGCATTAAAGGTAGTTTATTGACCCTTAATGATTCTGGTATTTGGAGTGCTCATTTTGCTTATTTAAAAATTATTTTCAGGCCATTTTAATAAAGATGTACTAAGTTCTATCTTTAAAATCATAAAACCACATTTATCTGAGCAAAATAATATTAGCTTCCCAGGCTTGTAGGTGAGGAGGGAAGATGAATGATTTTGGTTATTTGAAATCAAGGCTACCATACTGAGTCAACTGCTTCAGGAACAAGCTCTGACAGCTATTCTGTAGAGTGGCATTATCAACTTCATTATGCCATCAGTATTTGGCTGTAGATATGGCATTCATCTGCCATGGCAGACAAAAATCAAAAACAGGGAGATGACTGAAAACAAAACAGTCTGAAAAATCTAGAAGAATAAGAAAAGTGACTATTCTATCCTTCTTAAAGATGTCCATAGCTTGTTAGTAGGGAAGAGGTTAAACAGATTCTCTTTTAATCACAGCTCAGAGGTAGAAATTGCGAAATGATCTGTGGCAGTTGTGTGTGTGGAATACCAGACTGAGAGCTGAATAAACTCTCCTGGTAGCTCAATGTGTCTTAATGAATTGTGGAAAAAAGGAAACAGATGAAGTGGATTCTTGGATACAATCATATTATTTTTGTCCCCTTTGATAACTTGTGTAATTTGGTTGAGACCAATAAGGTTCTCTTACAGTTTGACGAGATTTTTAAAACGTCTATTCCACAGTAGTACCAAAGTTCAGTATAGAGCCATGCACAGGCTCAGCTGGTATGAAATTTACCTGCTTTCTTCATCATCCATTTCTCTCATCAGGCTGTTCAATATCCAGAAAAATCACTGTTTGAGTCTCACATTCAGAAGCTGCCTAAATTTAAAAGGATCTGCTGACTGCTCACAGTGCTTGAAGTCAATGGAACTATTCATGTGAGTGAAGTTACATGCTTAAAACTGTTGAAGAAGCAGGCCCTTAGGTGGTAAGAGATGTTGTAGAAAGATATTGGGATAGCGTCAGAACCAGATATCTGGAGTGAAACCCTGGCCCTACTGAAGTCAATGTGAGTTTTGCCACGGATTTCAGTATAGCCAGGATTTGACCCCTTACATAAAATAATAATAATAAATAATAATAATAATCTGCTTTGAGAGCAGTAAGAGCTAGAAGAGATTGTTGCACTCCTGCAATCTACACTTGGTATTATCCATCCCTCAGAGCTGTGGTTAAGAAATCTTCCATATTTCTATCCTTTCATTCTGCCCTCCTGCTTCCTTTGGAAACTATCATAAAAAGAAAGGAATAGGGAGGAAAAGTCTCAGAGCCAAAACACCTTTTAGATTAAACTATTCTTAAAGCAAGGAGAATAAGCTACCCCCTTGAATTAAGAGGATATGAAGATCTGATGGGGGCTGCACTGTAAATACTACCCCAAGGAAAGAATCTAAAACCACAGTACATAGCAAACCAACTTATACAGGAAAGCGCACAGCAGTGGCCTCAGCAAAGAAGTTTGCAGTAGGTTCATATACTCCATCTAACCTCACCTCTGGGGGCCAAAGAAAGGGTTTAATCACATGGCTGATGCACAGTCAGTGAGGATTCACTAGGTCAACTGTCCAAAACAAAGAATTAATGTAAGTTACTGTGGGGCCAGCTGCCACCAAGAGGCTGTTAATTCCAACTGCAAGTATTATGGATTCTCAGGATACTGTTTCTGTTGGCTAATGAGAGTCAGTGTACAAAATTATATGCCATGTCACAGTGGCAGAGAAGAAAATATCTGTGACCCTTAAAGCTAAAAACAAACACTTTCATACACATTGATTTATAAAACAATCACACTTACCAAAGTAGTGCAATAATCAAAGACTCCTTTATTTTGCATAGAAATTGAATCCCTGCTGTTTAATGAAATGGAACTTTATCTACAGGAATTTCCATAACTTAATGACAACCCGATCAACAGCTGTCAGATTTCTGCTCACTGAATGGGTCAGAAAGTGGGATCCAGTATAAAACCTTTACAAGTTCTAAACCTTCAGCCTGAACACATTTATATCCAGATAAAATAATCTGATTACAGACTCCTGGTGACAAAACTATGGGTTCTACTTTATCAGGTGTGTACTAGTAAGTGTTAATATTCTATGAAGGTGACATGAGCCTAAAATTATATTTGCATCATTTCATCACACAACTTCAAATCCTTTATTCAGTTTTCAGCAAACATAATCACTTATTAATACAGTATGTATGATTTCCTTCCTAAAGGCCAGATTATGATCCTTACTCCCACAGGTGATCAGTCAGTAATACAAGTAGTCTCACTGGTTTAAAAATGTCTGACACTTACTAGCTGTTAGGGAGCCCCTCAGTAAGGTCCAGAGACTGCACTCTAGAATGGGGAAGGTGCTGGGATTTATATTAAACAAATGGGTGGTAGATGGGAGGTCAGGGCTTCTCAACTAGCTTTTGCCACTGAGCCTCACTGGTGGAGTTCCTCTCTTGTCTGTTGTATGTACCTGTGGTTAGCTAGGTTTACTCCTCCAGCTAGTAAGTGTCTGACAAATTTTCTCAAGCCCTCTATTTTAAGATACAAGATCATGCAAATAAGTGATTTAACAGTCATTGAGTAAAGTGAGCGCTGGATCATGGGCTGTACTAGAGCTCCCAAAAGGATTCCAAAGGACATCCAATTCAGCTGCCAGAGGTCTGTGGAAGTCCAGAACAGCAGGACAGGATTTGTGACAACTTGTGAGGAAATACTTTGCTATTTAGGTTCTTACACTGCATGTTACACCTGAGTGCCAGTTTCTTGGAAAGTTTCAGTCAAGTAGAAAGGCAATGTATTATCTTGGAAAGAACCCCTCTATATTTCTAACCAGAACTTCAGAACAACCAAAGCAGCGGTAGCCTGTGAAGAAGCCAGCCAAGATTATACATAACTAGTGCATGTTGGGACAGGATGCTCTAGGGTGTTTTAGTTCCAGTTAGACATTCAGCAAAGCTAGATGAAATCAAGAAAGCTGCTTTGTGCTAATACTGAGTCTTAGGGTAATTTTTTGGCACAGCTCTAATCTTAAAATACTTGTGCCATAAAATACATAATTTCCCATTTAAAATCAATTCTATATATAGACGTGCAGCTTCCATAAAATGGATATAAATTTTTAAAATGTATTAGTACTCAAGAAAACACATACTAACAATTTGATCCAGCAAAATGCTTCAGCATGTGGATAACCTTATTCATATGATAGTCCCCTAGACTTAAATGGGAATATTTGTTTAAGTAAAAGGTATATGCTTAAATGATAGTAAGGTTAGGTTTTAGGGCATTCTTAAATCACACCTTAATTACATAACTCTTAAAAATACCCAGAAAAAAGCCACTATTTTCAAAGAAATAGTTGCGTTTCATATATTTAAAATAAAGTAGTGATATATATCTGAGATCAGAATCTGGCTCTAAATGTTAGCATTGGTTAATATGCTTTAAACAGAATATTTCTCTACATTACTCTGCATAAACATGTTGAACAAAGTAAGTTTTCTTAAGCATACTCACATTCTGCCAGACTTCCCATAAAAGGTGCCCCTATTCCATCTTTAGCGTAACTAATAAAAAAAACAGGAGATAATAAATGGTCTAAATTAGTCAGTATTAAATATCTCTTCCTTCTTAGAGATACAGCTAAGTAACTAAATAGTTTTAACAAGTCAACCCTACAAGTTTTGTCATGACCAATGTTCCCTCTAATTTTTTTCCATCCATGTGCAGAATAAATTTTGTTATGTGCACCAAGGTATGTGCGGATGTGCGCCACCAGTTGAAACGAAAAACCTAGATATATTTTTTTAAAAGGTTACCATAGGGATAATTACTCCAGCCAAGACAGGTTAGGCATTTTAGAACTCACTACTCAAAGAATTAAATGTAAGTGTAGGAGAAATAAAATTATGAAATGCATAGACCAGTCAAAAACTAAAATAACACACTTTGAAAGAACAAAATTACAGAGAATATGTGCGCATTGTAGAAAGAACCAAGTAACAACAACAATAATACAAGTATGTATTGGGAGATATATATATATATATATAT